GGGTTTCTGGGGTGGTATCATTATGGAAGTAGATTGCCCAACCTTTCTTCTGAGGAGTGACTGAGGGATTTGAACCTCCAGCCTTCTGGTTAGCAGTCAAGTGCATTAGGCACTATGCTACCAGAGCTCCCATTAACATAAATATATCAGATAATCTTACTGGTTCTAACTCCAAATATATACATAATCCAACCAATTCTTACCTCCTCTATTGCTGCCATTCTGGTATAAAATCTCCTGGTAGCATATCAGAATAATCTTTGTATAGTCTCCCTGTCTCTTTCTTTTCCCCACCACTGTCCACTCCCAACTTAATAGCTTCGATGATTCTTTTAAAGTCAATTGATATGATTCCTCTTCTCAAACCCATTTGATGGCTTCCCCAGACACTCAGAGCAAAAGTCAGATTTCTTATAATAACCCTGTTGTGTTTACCTTTCTGAACTCATCTTCCACATCTTTCATGTCACTTACTCTGCTCCAGCTGCACTTGCTTCTTTAATATTCCTATAATAGGCCAACTATTATCCCCATTCTAGCCTATTACACCTGCTGTTTCCTCAACTTGGATTACTGTTCCCCTAGAAAATCACATGGCTTCCTTCCTAATCTTCAGCTATTTGTTCACAGTAAAGGTTTTCCTGCTTAATTTTTTTCCCATATCTCTTATAGTATCTCACATATTTCCTCATTTACTTTTTTATTATCTCCCTCCTCTCTCACTCCATCATACATAGAATTTAAGGAGTTTTGTCTATTTTTTTCCCTGCTGTTTTGTCAGTATGTAGAAGAATACATACTTTGTGCTCAGTAAATTTTGGTTGACTGACTGAATGAGCTTGAATGAATGAGCCATGAGACCCTGTTTCTGTACCTAGAACAAAATCCCAATCATTCCTATCATCCCAACCCAGGATAAGACAAGGAAATCAGTTTAGCTGGAAGATTTAACATTAGAATCACTTGTCTTAGGACAGACACAGGGCAGATTTAAGTCCAAACACAAGTATTGTAAATGGATCAAAGTAGCCTAGTCTTGGACAACAGAAGCTAAAAGAGTACGGGAAATGAGAGCTTAAAAACCCCATCTCCTTTTACATCTGTGCTCATTTGCAGACCCACTTACAGGACAAATCTATTACCTATTGGTAATAAACATATTGGTTCCATATTGAAGTTATTACTAGAACATGTTTTGGTGTAGTGATATAACGTGATCATGCTATTCTATACCAGAGACACCATCTATATCTGAAATTTACATTTCAAAAGACAAGACTTTTTTCAAATTACACTAAAATAGAGTATCTTACCCTAAGATGTCATTTTGCTTTTAATTGAAATGTCAGAATTATACTATTTTTGGTGTCAAAGAACAATAAAAAATGAAAGAAAAACCTCCAGGTGGAGGGTATTAGTTCTGACTTGTTAATATTATATTCAGATGCATGAATTATATCAATTAAAGTCTTGGTTAGAATTAACAAAGTTCCAGAATGAGATTATTATAAGGCAAAATAGAAAAAAAAATCATTTGAATGGTTTTATTTCATCATGTAACTCTGGCTAGATACTACAAAAGCATTGATTTTCCTGAGGCCATGAGTGAATCTACTTTTCATTATAAGGTGTAGTTTGCTGTTAGAGACCCAGTCACCAAAGGACAAATCACTCATATTTCTTATTTCCCTATCTCTCCAACATGTCCAACACATTGAGGATTACTGAAAATTGTTAGCCCTTCATAGTCTTTTACAGTCAATCTCTCCCCTTTTCACTCTAGAATTGTGTAGAGTCAATAACATATTAGTTCTCACCTAGGCTATAACAAAGGCATCTGGTTATGGAAAGAGTTTGGCTCTGGAGTCATATTAAAATTGGCTTTAAATTCTAGCTTTGCCACATTTATTACTTCTGTGAGCATGGGCAAGTGACTTAATATCTGTGAGCATCTTTTTTTTCCACAATCAAATGGGGGTAGTCATATAGGGGACCTGTATGAAAAGAACTTTGTACATGTTCAATGCTTAAGATATGCTACTTCCCTCCCCCTCCTGCTCACCCTGTGATTTCTTGACCTCCAATCATATATTTGTACATGCTATATGCAAAGACAATCCAGTAGACACTATCAAGTGTACAAAGATGGCCCCTTGCCCTGAGGACGCTCACACAATTTGAGGAGAGATAGCAATTAAACTAGTGTTTACAACACAATACAGAATGTGTGAAGAAATTATGAGAAACATAGACATGCAGAGCTAAGAGAGGGGAAAGAATTCCATGATAAGTGATTTGTCAAAGGCTTCATGGTGAATTAGTAGCCGAGTTGGAAACTGAAGCTCAGTTTTCACATCCCCAATCCGGTTCCATTCCAATTTAACACATTACATAATTATTATTTGTCACCTTTCAACCACTCAAACATTATTAAACATCCGTATTTTCTTATAACCTGCATTCATGTCATCTTTAGGGGATGCCCATAATCTTTAAAGTGGTATAAACACAGTACCCTTTGCACAATTTACTCCAATTTTCTCACCATCCATACACACACACTATTATGTTCACTTTTCTTTGTTCTGTTATACCCTGGAAATTCGTATTCCACAAAATGGCCAGTTTAAAAAAAAATAGATACCTGCTTCAGTGCCACATGTGTAGGAGGAAATCAATTCTTTGCTGCATATCAAGAAAAAAGAAAAAAGAAGAAAAGTCCCTGAGTGTTTCAGTCATCCACAGATGATGCCAGTGCATTAGGTGTGATCAAAATGATGAGCATGATTTTTTTTTTTTTTTTAATATCCTTGCCTCTGGCACTGTAGTTTCCATGTTCAGTCTCTGTTACTTACTAGTCTTGCTGTTTTTATACCCACCGGTATCCTAATACAGGGCTTGATACATGAGCAAAATCTATACATAAGAAGGAAGAGTTGTTGCTGCTGATGTATTTATTTTGACTGTCTCATGTTTGGCAAGATTGTGAAGATTTTCAATGTACAAAAAAATAGTAAGCTGATTTTTGACAGTATCAATGCTAAGGAGTTAAGAAAGAAATAAGAAGTATCTTCTAATGAAAAAGTCAAATAGATTTATTTTCCCTGTGTTATTCCTCAGACTTATAGTTACAGCTATAGTGTCCCATGTACTGGGGATCTCATTCATCTAAATTACTTGGACAATAGAAGTATGCATAAAAGTTGGTGGAGTTTTCAGTGAGACATGTATAATACTCTTGGTGCTCACTCAAAGGGGATATGGTAAATGAAAGTGTGTGACAATGCAGTTCCTTCCTCAATTGCCCTAAAGAAACTGAAATAACTAGTTATAGAAGATGCCAAATTTACTGTAGTGAGTTCCAGATGAAATACTAAGGTATTTTACAGGAAATATATGTGATAGACAGTATGTTTCCCCTTAAGGTTTGGCATTGAACTCACATTAGCTTACACTGCAGCCAAACATAAAACAAGTAAGCACAAGATACAAGGATGTATGGTTGTGTGGATCTTTGCTCTTTAATTTCTTGTTTTTCCTTCTTTTTTTTCCCCCAATGTTTGCTTGTACATCAGGTTAAATACTGTGGGGATAAAGACCTAGTTTTACCCAAGTATGGTGGCTATTGTCCTTCAGTCTTGAGAAATAACCCTTGAAGTAATTGAATCAGTTTGTCTGGGACTTCCAGACCACATGTGGAGATTTGTGCTGGTGAGTGGAGGATGGCCACATGAGAAAAGGCTTGGCAGGCTGTTATCAACTAGTTCTTGGTGCTCTGATGCAAGACTGGCTGATAAAAGTCCTGAACATGGAGATTCAGAGCTTCCTGGTTGATAAGAACAGATGCTCTCAGGAGGGTAGCAGGTCCCTTGGGATATAGAAACTTTGTTTTGGGGACCCTTATAGACTTTGTCTGTGTGTCTTTTCATTTGCATCTTTTTTAGTTATAATCAGTCTACTCATAAGTGAGGTATGCCCTCCGTGAATTCTGTATGTTGTTCCAGTGAATTATGTAATCTAAAAGGGTAGTCAGAACCATCTTAGACATGTGAACTCTGAAGCTTGCTGCTGGCATCCTGAATGCATAGTGGAAAACCAGCCCCAAATTGCTGGCTGGCAGATCAGAAGTTTGGGGTGTCATGCCCTCAAACTTAAGGCTGGGGGCTGTCTATTTGGCAATTTGAAGGATGGTGTCCTTTTAACTTGTGAGCTCTGACCTAGCTTTGGGTGGCAAGGATTTGAAAAGGTGCCACTGAGGTGGCTGGTGATGGGGATGAAGAAGTGGAAATGTGAGAAATGGATTAGTCTTCACATTTTAGAGAATGTATTCATGCTGATCTTACTAGAAAAATACCTTAGAGCAAAGGAAATGTTAAAAAGACTTTTTTAAGTTGAGTAATGTAATTTTGAAAGGTATTTTTAAAAATCTATAGTAAATTATTATATTAACATGAATTTCAGCTAGAGAAACTTTTTAAAATAAAAATTTCCTTCTAGAATATTTAAAATACTCAATACCTAACGTATACAGAAGAAGCTACCTCTACTTCTCATGTAAAGAAAACCTCTGAATGGTCCCATATTTCTTCAGTATAGATTTTAACAATAGCTATATTTGCTCTAAGGTGGTGATACAGAATTCTTGAATGTTTTATAAGGAGTGTATTTTTTTAAGAACATACCAAATATTTAAATGACAACTTTTAGAATATTTTTTTTCTTCTTAAATTTTATTTTGACAAATGATTTCTGTCACTCCACAATAATTAAACATATATTAAATATCTGACCTATTTTTTTAAATCATTTTTCATTTAAAAAATAAGGATTATTCACAATCACCCATTAAATGCACAAAAGATGGAGTATCTGGGATTACTGGGATAAAATCAGAATGGGAAAAAGTTTAAGACACACTGTAACAAAGATGACCCTGTTAAATGTAATCATTGACTCCACAAATTCAGTCATTGCTTTCATGTCCCTGCTGCTTTTCACAGGTATAAGCCATTGACTGAAACATTCCTGGACGAGAAGAAACTCTCTGCTGAAGAGAAATGTCGGCTTATTCTCCAGCAGTGTAAATTACAAGGCTGGCAGGTTGGTGAACTACAACCTCCTGAAATATCAGTTTAAGATTTTAAGTGAGCTGAGTCATTGTGGGGAGCAACCAGAGTATTATTGGCAAAAACTGATTCTTTTGATGTGGTTGGCAAAGCAAGCCATTAAATGCATCAGTCTTTATGAGTGACTGACTTTAGCAACATGAAGGAAACACATGAAGGAAACCCAGTCTCCTTTGCAGGGCTGATGAGAAGTTTGTGGAGCCAGTGGCATCACTAGGGTTAGTGTGGAGCATGTGGACCACAGCAAGTAACACTGTTCGAGGGGGTGACACCAAAATAACTGTCTATAAAATTGTTGTGCATTGTTTCAGCAGAAATTTATTCTTTTATTTATTTATTTTTAAATAAAAATATGCCTGTAGCTAGTTTAAACAACAAAAACATTTTTTTGTTAGCCCAGCTGATATATATCAAAATAAATACAAGGCTAAAGGTCTGTGGTAATTTACATTTTGAACTTTCTAATATGCTCCAGGCAGAGCTGTCATTATTGCCCAATTATAATGATGCTTTGAATCACGTGGTTTCATCTACAGTCACTGCAAGTATATGCTGTTGCTTTCATTGCTGCTGTGTTTTTATAGTCGTTATTTTTTTGGCATTTTAGCTACAATACTGTGGTAATTAGTATTTGTGAACCTGTATCAATAACTTTTATGAGAATGAAATAATAGAAAGAAAAAGAAGGAGAAAAATAAACAAAGGCATCCACTCAATCACTAATATTGTTATAACTGCTAATGTAATTCAATGCAGAAATATTTTACAAAACAATTTTGTTGTTAGTATTCATATAAGAAATATTATATTTAAACACTTTGCAACTATATTTATCAGGTATTTTTCAATGATCAGAATTAAAAACAAACATTACTTGTTGTTGTTATGTGCCGTCAAGTCAGACCCGACTCATAGCGATCCCTCCTTGGGTTTCCAAGGCAGTATCACTACGGAAGTTGATTGCCCAACCTTCCTTCTGAGTAGTGGCTGGTGGGTTTGAACCACCAGCCTTCTGGTTAGCAGGAAAGTGCCTTAGGCACTATGCTACCAGAGGTCCTAAACATTACTTAGAATTATATAATGTCTGGTATGAGATGAGGTCCATGGTTGGGAATGGGGTGACACCATGAGTTACCTTACTGGTTGACACTAACCCTAATGATGACACTGGATGATGAAGAAGAGAAAATAAACAGAGAGAGAAGAAAGAAACAGAGAAATCTCCCTGAATGCTTGGATGCCCAATGTACGTTATGGTTTCCAAAATTCTGTGTGTAGAAAAACTCACCAGGGAAGCTGTATCCAGATTTTAAACCCAGATCCTTAGCCCCTACTCCATATATTCTGACTTAGTAGATCTGTGATGATGTTCAGGATTCTATGTTAACATGTAGAGTTACTGCACAGGGTGACACCAATCCTAGTGACACTGCTGTGTGGAGCTCCATTGTTTGCCTGTGTGTCATATTCAAATCTTCTCACTAAAGCTTTTTGAAGTATGCAAAAAGAAGCAGAAGTCACAGGCACCAAAATAAGAGGAACTCAGGTTGATTCTTTTCTCAGAGCTGCCATCTCACAAGTGCTCTTTAGATCAGGACTTTTCAGGCTCATTCAAGTTTGGTTTAGCCCCCTTTTTTTTCTGTTTGTCTTGCCTGCTTCTCACCTACCACATGCTGAGAATACCATTGTCCTTTGAACCTCATTTGTTGCCCAAAACTTCATAACTGCACATGTTTAGTTATGTTCTGTGACTCTTTTCAATGACACAGCTCAATGGCCCTCTGGATCAATACCCTCCCATCCAGAAGTAGGAGATAATATAAGACGAAATAACATGGAATATGCCCACCAAAAATAGGGGACAGTTTTGGATTTTGTTTAATATTTTAAACAAGATCAGAATGCCACCTTTGGCACATACCACAGAGGAGAGTTGAAATTTAGAAAAATAGAGAAGGTAAAGCTAGAGAATGAATAATGGCAAAGAGAATGAAGTCCACCATACCAGGAATTAGTTGGACACCTCTAACTATAAAGCTGCAGTGTAGTAAATTACATGGTATGGCTTTGGTAGGCATAGTTTTTATAAATCCCTCTTTGCCGTGAGTAACTGAGTAGCTGATTGATGAAGCTATCCACCTGGTGTATTTATATTGGAGCAGCACAAAGAAATCTTCTGGGAAGTTTGCTCTCTCTCAGCTGTGTAGAATTCTGATGTTAAGTTTGGTTAGTTTCGTCACTCTGCCAAGCTCAAAATGAGCCCTCCTAGAGGCAGAAGGAATTTCTCTGACTGCCACCTAAGAAGTACTTGCTTGCTGAGAGAGAGACATGAAAGAGACATGCTGCTGAGAGAAAGATGTGAGAAAGATTTACTGATGAGAGACAGACATGCTACTGAGAGAGACTGAGAGAGATGGCCAGCTGAGAGATGATCAGCTGAGAGAGACTGAGCGTCTTCCTGAACTTGAATTGTAGCCTGTGTGGCATAGTGCCTAAGGCATTTGACTGCTAACTAGAAGGCTGGTGGTTCAAATCCACCAGCCACTCTTCAGAAGGAATATTGGGCAATATACTTCCATAGTAATATCACCTCAGAAACCCAAGGAGAAGTGGCTATGAGTCAGATCTGACTCCATGTCAGTGAGTTTGCTTTTGGCATGGTTTTTGCTTCCCTAATAAACCTCATAATCTTTGAGTTCTTTGTGGCCATGGTAGCAATACTGAACCCAGCAAAGAGGCATATGACCAAGAACCAATGATACTGAAGGAAGAAATTGAAGCTGCAATGAAGGAATTGGCCAAAAACAAGACTGCAGGAATTGATGGAATACCCATTGATTTGTTTCAACAAATAGATGTAGTCTGGAGGCACTCACTCAGTTATGCCAAGAGATTTGGAAGACAGCCATCTGGCCAACTGACTGGAAGAGATCCACATTTATACCCATTCCAAAGAAAGGTGATCCCACAGAATGTGGAAATTATCTAACAATATCATTGATATTACATGCTAGTAAAATCTTACTGATGATAATTCAAAAACTATTGTAGCAATATATTGACAGAGAACTTCCAGAAATACAACCTAGATTCAGAAGAGTACATGGAATGAGGGATATCATTGCTGATGTCAGAAGGATCTTGGCTCAAAGCAAAGAATGCCAGAAAGATGTTTACTTGTGTTTTATTGACTATGCAAAGGCATTTGGTGTGTGGAACATAACAAATTGTGGATAACATTGAGAAGAATGGGAATTCCAGAACACTTAACTGTACTTATGAGGAACCTGTACATAGACCAGGAGGCTGTCATTCAAACAGAACAAGGGGATACTGGATGGTTTAAAATCAGAAAGGGAGTATGTCAGGGTTTTATCCTTTCACCATACTTATTCAATCTATATGCTGAGCAAATAATCTGAGAAGCTGGACTATATGAAGAAGAACATGGCATGAGGATTAGAGGAAGACTCATAACAACCTGACATACACACACAATACAACTCTGCTTGGTGAAAGTCAGGATGACTTGGAGCACTTACTGATGAAGATTAAAGACTACAGTCTGCAGTATGGATTACACCTGAATATAAATTTTTAAAAATCCTCATACCTGGACCAATGAGCAGCATGCCGATAAATGGAGAAAAGATTGATGTTGTGAGTGACTTCATATTATTTGGTTCTATAATCAACGCCAATGTAAGTAGCAGTCAAGACATATTGCATTGGGCAAATCTGTTCCAAAAGACCTCTTTCAAGTGCTGAAGAGCAAAGATATCTCCTTAAAACTAAGATGCACTTAACCCAAGCCATGGAATTTTCAGTCACCTCATATGCACGTGAGAACTGGACAATGAATAAGGAAGACCACAGAAAAGTTGATGCTTTTGAGTTGTGGTCTTGGCAAAGAATGTGGAAATTACCATGGACTGATAAAAGAACTAACAAATATGTCCTGGAAGAAGTGCAGCCAGAATGCTCCTTGGAAGCGAGAATGGCCAGACTTCATCTTGCCTACTTTGGCCATGTTGTCACAAGGGACCATTCTCTGGAAAAGGATGTCATGCTTGGTAAAGTGGAGGGCCAGTAAAGGAGGGGAAGGGTCTCAATGAGATAGATTGACACAGTGGCTGCAGCAATGGGCTCTGGTATAGTAGGGACCGTGAGGCTGGTACAGGACTGGGCAGTGTTTCGTTCTGTTGTACATAAGGTGTCTATGAGTCAGAGACGACTTGACTCGACACATAACAACAACAACAGTGACAGCAGAGAGGTGGTGTGTGCCATGAGAGGAATGGTTGATGACAAGGTTAGTAAGAAGGCTGGAGGGTGGTGGCATGTCTGGCCTCATAAGAATAGGCCTTGGGCTGCTGATGGTGATTCTGTCTTCCTCTTGTGGAGTTAGAGGTGGTCAGAAGATGCCATCTCCTTGCCTCTTTAGCAAAAGCATAACTGAAAATGCATAGTTGGAAAATAACATGGGAGTTAATAGTTTTGGTAAAGCATAATAATTAATGGAAATACACATAAATTTAAGTGTTTTTTTTTTTTTAAGTGATAAAGGTAGCTTTTAAAAGTGAAAATGTATATTGATAAGGCTAAAAATGAGAACTTTGTTTTAAAAATGATGTGAACAGATGGTTCAGAATTGCTGACTATGTCTGAAAGTGTTCCAATTTAGGTTAAATGGGTAGAGAAAACTGGATTGACTATAGCACACTCATCTGACTATGACAAACAACAAAGAATCTAGAACACTTACATTGATGAGTAATTATTTAATTGGGCCACCCAATCTCTTTATTCATTATCTTTTTTTTCTTTCCTGTCCTTTTTTTTTCAACTAATAATGGAAGTTGAACTTTAAATAACAGTGTGAAGGAGGAAGCTTATACAGTCTGTAGTTGTCATGGATGCACATCAATGCCAAAAGATTGTATAAAAAAGGAAGGAGAAAGGAGGAATTACTAA